ACCAACATTTGATTAAAGTTCTAGACAATTATTTTTACTCGCCAACATGGGCGAGTCAGCTAGCTGTGCCTGTCACAGGCCGACACGATAACACGCCAAGCATGCACTGCGGTGTAAATTTGCACTGTGATTGTCTGAAAAAAAATGCTATACAAATTTATCCAATTGCTATGCAAAATTTATTTTGTATAGCACATTTGCTATGCAAATTTTTGGCTGGAAATTGTTCCCTGTTCTGCATGCAAAACTTACTTGAACAACGTTTACGCGCCTTAAATCATATATGAACTTCATTCTCTATATGAGATTCTGTACGTTGGGAATACAATGTCAATAGCACTTACGCAAACGTCTGTTTTTGATTAAGGCCAACTATAAATAGGCTGATAGCATGGCTGATAGTATCACAGCATGGGCTAAACGTAGACTGGTACTCGCTCCCACCATCGAGTAACTAAGCCGAGAGGTGGGACCGGGTACCAGTCTACGTAATACGATGCAGTATGCACGCCATCTATGGGAACAGAGTGAGAAGAATGTCCTGGCAGGATAGGTCAAATGTATATTGCGCTCAAAAGTGCAGAAAGAATTACTTTCTTAACTTCAGTTTAATCAATCTTGAGATAAGTAATTGCAGAATTGAATCGTCAAACCTACCAATGAAAATTTGCCAGTTTTGTACTGTCCTTGGCATGGCTCTCTCCGTCGACGTTACAATAGTGTGCAATGTCGGGATATGGTGGAGCATGCTGGCTTGTGGACGCTGCAGAGCCCGATGGTTGACTGTCAGTCGAGATGTGTTGATCCTCCCCGACATTGAAGAAATCTGTACGTTATACGTGCGTTTGCCTTACCTCTGCCCGCCATCTTCGTCGAAAGTTTGGACGCCGCGCGGCGAAATTGGAATGTACATTTCAATCGATGACGTAACTGATACAGTAGCGCGCAGCGTGGGTGTTATTTGTTTATAAGCAATTTAGTCTGACTGACTCTCTCTCCTCTCGCTCGCTCTCTCTCTTTCTCTCTCGCCCCCCTCTCTCTCGCTCTCTCTCTCTGCAATAAAAAAAATGTTTGCTGAAATGATGTGTACGCAACTGCGTATCTGCATATCTGCGCCTAACAAAGGTGTCACTACGCACGACTGAAATGTTACGTTTATAACCGTAGCAACAGACCTCAGATGAGCCCAGTCGCTCTGCGGCACTTGTTTTTTTTACATTCCTCATAGTTAAGACTGAAACACAAAGCATGTGTGGCAAACATGAGGACAGACTTAAAATAACTATTATGCCTCACACACACAAAAAATACCTACCTACCTACCCACTAAAAAAATCATGGGTCGGGGGACAGCAAACATGGAATTTTTTAAGGATGGCCTTAGGTCAGAAATTTGGTAATGGGAATATATATTATTTGTAATTTTGGCCAAGTCAGCTAAAATTTGCAGTGGTTAGTATATGTGATTGCTGTGCACTTTTCTAGGCTCAGAGCAAGGCGATCGCGGGAGGTGGAGGCGTTGATATCGAGTTCAACGGTATGGTTGATGCCTTCGTCCAGACTGTGAAGAAGAACGGAATTCTTGGACTGTGGCGTGGAACCACCGCCAACCTGGCTAAGGTAAATAGTTGAAACCATGTAAAGTGAGACCTGCTGCCATATTCAGTAGTGGTGTTCCGATTAATCGAGTTCGTCGATCATTACTCGTTTGGGCTGCCGAGTTGATTAATCGAGTAGAAAATCGGACGACCGAGTACAACTCGAACTTTTTTTTTGATTGAATTTGATGAGCAGTTATGTTGCAATGCCTTTTAGAGTGTTACCCGTCCGTAACCCTAACAGTATCCTTAATTTTCTTACCATTAAATACTAGCTACACATACAATAATGTCAATATTCCTTCGCAATACGCCGGTTGTGTCGACGATGACGCGTCGTCGCCGCAATCTAAAATGATCGATGATTAATCGATCATCGGTCGTTTTGTAAAACCGATGATTTATCGATCATCGGTCGTTTTGTAAAACCGATGATTTATCGATCATCGGTCGTTTTGTAAAACCGATGATCAATCATGAAATTTGGACCGATCTCCAACACTAATATTCAGTCATGTTCCCAATTGAGTTTGTTATGAATTAAAGTAGGAATTTCAATATTTGGAGTTTTACTACGGATTAGCTCAAAATGGTCTATTTGACCTCATTCAAAGGTCAACCACTATCGGAATTTTGGGAAGCGTTGCACGGTGCGATTCATAACTTTCTGTGTTTTAATGTGGCCCACAATTTTCTTTCAATATAGTGTCTTACTATAGTATTGTATTATATTATTTTATCATATTGTGTAAAGCCAGGATTTCAAAATTAATTTTCGACAGTCTGGTTTTCCCCACTTTTACGATACTTATCGTTATTGCCCGAGTAACAGCAACTGTCTAGACTAGAGTAACGCTAACATGTCATATTCAGCTTTATTCACCAAAACATACACGATTCGAATTTTGATTTCTGCATATTCAGGTTGCACCATATGCCGGGTTCATGTTCATGGGCTTCGAAGCCAGCAAGAGAGTGTTCCTGTACAGCAACGGATACACAACAAGCCCGATCTGGGACAACCCCAAGCCCGGTGTGGACCAGAGTTTCACACCCACCGAGCTGGCCGCATGGTACAAAAAGGAGAAGGAGCTCGGCCACGACCATGACCATTAGAGAGTTCGCGATTAGGCAATGCACTAGGTCGCTTGGTTCCAATTTGTTTGTTAGTATGGTCGAACTCATATGTCAGTTGTGTCGCCCATTCGCATAAGCTCATCATGCAAAATGTCTAGTTATAAACTTTTGAAAACGTCTTTTGTCTGTAACTGCAGTGCCTGAAACAAAATGGCTACTTCTCTGTAATACAAATTATATAGTATGCGCAGAGGTTTGCATATGTGGATAGTATTTTCTTTTCAAATATGCAATCCCCTCTCCGGACTCTGATGGTAGACCAGAGCGACAGAAACGAAACCCACGTGTCTCGGTGATATGTCTGTGTTAACTAGGAGTGTGCTTCTAAAGTAGCAGCTCTTAAGATCCATTTCCGGAAATGGCTTTTAACAAGTTGTCAGGTACTTGTAAAAAGTTATACTGTATTGTTAATAAATGAAAGAGCTCTGTAACATAATGATACAAGTAAGTTTGTTTTCCTCCGCACGTGGAATGCATGTGGAATGCCAAGTACATTTAGTGACATGTATAAAGAAGCCCAAAAAGTGCATATTCCAAAATTTGATTTGCAGAATTAAATTGCAAGTCTATATTGACATAATAGCAACTTGTACGCAAACCATTTCTTATGGGCTCTACATTTGTAGAAGTACAACTTGGAAGGATAGCAGAATTTGTTCAGGGCAAGGGTATTTTAGCCTAACACCCTCCCCCCTCTGGTGCCTTGAGCTTGCATGATTGCCCTCTCCCCCCCCCCTATAATTCACTTCTGGTTCTGCCACTGCAAGTCGTACGTAAAAATGGACAAGATTTTAAAATAACTGGACCACTCTCAAGCAGGATTGTTATAAGTTTAACAGGTTCTGTTATTTTTGACATAAAAAGCAATGAATGGAAACAGTATATTTCACGAGCACGGTCATAACCAAACAAGCTGTTGGAAATCCAAGTTTGAAGTTTGCTTTAGTCAACTGGTGAACAAAATGAAAGTGTCAATGACACTGTAGCTCGCCACAAAAAAGGACACAAATGAGTGAGTAAGAAGAAGTCAGTTTTAATTGAGCAACCATCGACGTACATTATAGAAACGATTGCCATCTGTATATCGCAATAAGAATTTATAAACCAAAATGAATCCCAATTTGTGACCGTAGATGGCGCTATAGCCGCTTTGTAGCGATAGCGTTTGAAATAAATAGGTTATGCTGCGTTCCGACATGTTTTGTAAAACTTTACTCTAATATAGACGTTTTATGGAGAGGAAATACCAATTTTGCATTAAAGATATTGTCAATGAAATCTTGTAAAACGAACCAGACGAGTGTGACACCACAGACTGTTTGTGTCTATATAATATGCTATATAATTGCCAAACCCTACCTAATTTGCATAAATTTTTTTAAATATCAAAACCCCTAGCCCTTATTCATTCACATACCAAAAATGAGCAAAATCCGTTGAACCTTAACTGACTAATGGCAATTCCCATTTTTGCCAAAAAATTGCCGTGGCTCGAAAGTACGTCAACTGGCGTGCTTCAAAATAGGACGTTTAATATGGGAGCATAGCAGTAACAACTATACCCAATTTCAAACATGTGGGTCAAACGGTTCGTGAGTTATCGTTGACCGTAGCGAAATGTTAACGAACGTACGACGGACGACGACCCATGGCAATAGCTCAGCTTGACGATGTCAAGGTGAGCTAAAAATGAGCATGACGTGCTGTTTTTAATTTGATCAGTAAGTGTGCCCTCAACATTTTAAAAGAGGAAAGCAGTCCTATTCCTCGTGTAATTAAAAACAAGTGTTGGTGATGAAATGTCGGATGATTTAACGTATCTACCCGCTCATTAAATCGCTTCAAAAGCAGGTCACTACTATACCTATATTTAGAAAGCAGACGCCACATTGCATAGATGCGCCCATCAACCTCTAGACGGTCGTTCAAAGACCTCTCCATGTCAGGAATAGTTCAGATATAGATTCGAGCTGCAGTGCTGTGCTGTATCACGTATACTTGCCGGGAAGAGGGGACTGCCCGCGCATGAAAGGTCCACGAGTTTCCCCCATAAATACAGTGCATACGTACCACCATGCTAGCAGTAAGTTGATAGAACATGGACTTTGTTACATGGATTTTTTTTTCTCCTATTATCTACTATATATATATAATATCAGGAGTAGATAATAGGTACCTACTATCTCTACCCTATTATCTACTCCTGACAATATATATTGATTCAGCAGACATAAACAGAAAACACATTGACTTGACCAATATTGTACAAAATTATTAAATTGCTGTATGTCATTGCTTTCGTTTTAGCAGGGCAAGCATAGTAGCTATACATGTTCTGCTATTTCTTTGGAAGTTTATGTAAAATGCATAATGCATGTAATACATGCCCTACAAAAACAAAGCATCAAGGTTTCTGGATTGGCTTATGAACATTGTGCATGCTATGTGGCAGTACGCGAACGCGAATCAAGAATTGAAAAGCATAAAAACTATAAAATAACATATAATTGGCATCACATGGACTTCTAAACATTTATATACTATCAATAGCTAATAATAGAGCTCTTATTAGCTCTTGATACTATGTTACATAATAAATTACCACAATGTATAAACATTTACTTAATAATGTAAACGTGCGTGTGTGCTATATACAATATACACTATGAACACATACATATGTTCACGATAATATAATTATACTTATCATACAATTTTCGTCAAAATTATGAAATTTTAAAACTAGGACAACTCCATTTGGTACCGTAACTGTTTCGCTAGTTTTGCAACAAAAGTAGCATGCGATTTATTGTATGCCTGGTTGTGATTTTCCCCTGGATCTTTATCAAGAAAGTACAGTTCCCTCGCACGAACATCGCTCCATATTCCCCTGAACATGTTCTTGTCAAATCCGATCCACTCCGTGTATCGGTGATGTGTACATCGCATACTATACCCCATCACAGCAATCTCACGTAAGCGGGGCTGATCGCTGGTCGCCACCGGGAAATTCGACGGTCGTGGGTACTGGCTGAACACTGCTGATTTTACCCAAGTGTGATTTTTAAGCAGTCTGCTGTCACTGTTACGGATCACCAATGCGAAACTACGTCCTTCCGTACATAGTCGTATCGCAGACGAATTGGTGGGACAGGTAGGTGGCCTGGGGATACCTGCAAGGTCGCACAGTGTTGGGAAGATGTCGACCAGCTCCACCAAAACATTGCTTTGCCTGCCTCCCTTACGCACACACCTGGCAGTTACTCGATCACTTCCACTGGCGCATTCAGATTCTCTTCTGGCACCTGACGTCATGCTGTGATGAGGAGGCAACAGCGGGTTGATGTAAGGAAACAGGCTACGTTCTAGCAGGAGTTTCGTCTTTTCCACCGATTGCAAGCGATTGCGAGCAAAGCGTGACCAAGCAATAATTGGAACGTACACGATTAGCGGAACGTTGGTAGCCACCTCAAAGTTGCTGTACTTTGACCACTCCTGATGCTCACCTAATGCCCAGCCGTGGTCTCCTGCAAGTTCAAACGTACAACGCAAAGATTTACGTCAAAGCAAATAAACTTTTCTAAACTATGAATTTGCAGTCGTACTTTTTGTTGTAAACAAGTGCCGCAGAGCGACAGCGCTCACCTGACGGCAGGTGTTCTGATGCTAAACTCGCTGGCAAACGAATGAAGAGCACCGTCCCATCACCGCGTTCGCGCTCAGAGAATATATCCAGCATTAGACTGGATCACTCAGAGAAGCGTTGCCGAAGAGGAGGCTGTTTAATCCGAAGTGCTGCGCGTCTGCGCGCACGTCCGTCGCAAAGCGCAACGCGAACCGCGAATAAATTCCTATACGACAGTATGCAGAGCTGGCAGCTATGGATCCGTCAGCCCGAACTGCCATAGCCCGCGCACAGAATCCATTAGCTGCCAGCGGAACAGTCCCCCGCAATTTGAGTGCGGGAACATCAAGAGGCAACACTTATGGAACGTGAACAGTGTTCACTTGTTATAAAACTGTAACCGAGTAATGTGTTCGTAACGCGAGCCTTTGTCACGCGAAGTCACAGAAAGACTGTAAGAAATCTGACATTCGCGAACCTTGCCAGTAATGAATATGCTGTCAGAATCAGGAAACACCTACCGGCGCTCTTCGTGCACCTATTGTTGCGCCAATGCTGGGAACGTTTTTGCAACAACGTTGCAATGGCGAGCTCCGTACAGGAGTTGCAAAGCAGTGCGCGCTGCCCGCCGCTATAGCCCATAGACTGGCACTCGCTCCACTCTCGTCTCAGCTTTAGTCACTCCGATGCTTAATCGAGTGGGAGCGAGCTCCTAGATTCTATATCTCCTTTGCACCTCGGCAACCTTCTCACGAACGAGAGTAGGCCCTAATACCTAGAAACATTAAGAATTTGGTAGGTAATATTTATAGATTCGTATTTAGTTAGGCATTATATTTGTATTGAACCTTCAATGCCGTGTCTAGATATAGGGGTAGATTCTGAACCCTAGCAAAGAGCGTTTCTTGAGCTAGTAGTAGTATGTAAAGTACTAGTACTAGTAAGTATACTCAGTACTTAGTAATTTAGTAATACTATTTATATACGCATTGCTCCTGCCGTCTGGTTAGTAAACTATACTATAGTACAGTAGTGCTGGAACTGTAGAGTACTTAATTACCTAGTAATTATGTAACATTTACTTGTAGTAATCAGAAGATTTCGTAGGTGTGGAATGTACCAAAGTCTATAGTTTAAAATAGCCGGCCGAGCAACAACGCAACCTCGATAAAAACCCGTAAGCCAATGTGTATCCTTACAGCCTCGTTGCCCCTATATATATCGTAAATACTCTAAGCTCATGCCAGTCCAACGCCAACGGCATTTAGCGCTATAGTATTGTTACATATGTGAACAATAAAACTCCGTATTACAGCAAAGAAAGCGCCCTAGTAAGCGAACACAACTAAATTGGGAGCTTTTTAGCCCGTCTCTAACTAACTGGTAGTGGCGATCCCTGTCGCAATGCGCAGAACTGCCGATGAGATCGAAAAGCCGCTTAACCTAACCTAAGAAGGCACGGCAGTAGTACTGGCGTTGGAAAAGCAGCGACAGTTCGCTAATACATGCGTGCCGCTACAGGCGCGTTTGACGCTTCGCGCGGAATACCGCTGCAGATCGTCTAGGATACTATATAACAGATCTAAAATCTAAATAGCTAGCGTTGCCTTAACGCTGGTAGTGACACGTAATAAAAGATACAGCCTTGTAAACTTTTAATGACTTCGCTATATTAAACATTTATCATGATATGCCGTCCGAGCGCGAGTCCGTATTGGTGGTGGGGAAAGTGGGGAAGGGGGGCGGGTGGAGGCTCTAATACAAATAAGCATTGCCGGCAGATCGGCGGGCAAGTTCCCCATCAATAAATATCAAAAGATGGCAACACCGCTTGCCTGAATAACCTCCAACTCCATTGAGTCTTAATCCAAAGTATAATTCAAGGCTAGGAAGAATTCGCTCAGCTTGTTTTAGTTTAAACATCTGCAATGTGCAAGTTGCCAGCAGAATTAATATGAATTAAAAAAAGTCCAGTTCACCCATGCATGCCGTAAGGGCCTGCGCCCCCATTGTTTTTTGCATACACACCGAGCATTCAAGGGTTGCATTACAGTGTGCTAATACAGGTCTAACTTCAAGTGTGCTCAATACAGACGACTGCCTTAGAAATAAAATAATGAAATTAGAGCCGTAAACCCTTTGTCAAACAACATTGCTTTGCAGATTTGAAACTGTGCAACCTGTAAGCCTCACATCCACAAATCGCAAAAAAGCGTTCGTCTTGTTTAACATTCACAAATCCATGTTTCCCTCCTTGAAGGGTTAAAAAGATTATCCGCACACTTTTCTTCGCATGTCATGCAGAAGTACATTTCACTGTCCCTTCAAATAAAGCCCATAAAATGCTAGTCACCTGCGAAACAAAGAAGTTTTTCAATCGCTGTCGTCACGACATGTCCTCCAAAAATGTCTAAAACGCTGTCCCTATGCCCCCATTGACCCTTTGACCTGTTGACCCTCCAAATCTCGCACAGTGATGGCTTTTCCTACCATTGATTGCTATTACCAACTATCACGAGCCTAGGTTACCGTTTAGATTTGTGCCGCAATTTCTGCATTTCCTCCTATACCTTAAGTAAGGAGGGAATGTGTCCCCCTTCTTTAACAGCTCTTGACCTTTGACCTTTGACCCTCATCTTCGACATGCCCAATCTTTTGACATCCGCCCCACGTCCCGAGATATCGTGACGTACGTCCGAGCGGATTCAGATTTGTGCCCAACTGTTGTACGCAACGCGCAATCGGACGCACGTACGATCAATGCCGATTCTACAAAGCTGCTGATGCTACTAGATGTCCACGAGACCTAAAAGGTGAACTGAAATGAACTTAACCTAAACTGTGGATGAATGATAGCTCACGTCTGATCACATGTACAAATCACTACAGTTTGCAATACCATGAAATTATTTGAATGTCCATTTGAACTCAAACTTTTTAAACCACTATGTATCATTCTTCGCTTCATGGTTACCAATCAGGAGATGCCAAACACATATTTAGCATCTTAGTTCTCTGGCCATCAAAATTACGAGTCGAGGGTCACCTTGAGTGACCCGAGTTGTGCAAGGGGATCCGGCAATGCCCCCTGCGAAATCTGAAGATCATTTCCTTGTCTTCCTGAGGTCAAAATGACAATAAATTGACAAAAAATACAAATTAATTAATTTTTTTTTCGATCACAGGAAATTTTGTGAGTTGATACACCCACTAAACTGGTCGAGTTGATGCCAAAGGAATAGAAATTCGTATAAAATACGAATAAATCGTAGTGGTTGGCATCTCTGTTACCACCATCATCATCAACATTGTTAACCTTATATGCTGAACCAAACACGTGCAAAGAAGCACTACTGTCCATATTGCCCATTGTCTAATTAACCATAAATAAATCAATTTTATTGGACAGTTCAAGAACGATTAATATGCTTACTAGGCAATGACTTACCAAACAGTATTATAATGGTATTGTTAGCAAACCCTTGTGTCTCCAAGCTGGAGAGGAGATGTCCTATTTGGTCGTCCATGTAAGATATTGCTGCATAGTAACTCTGTCGTACCAATCGCTAGAAATAAAACCACGTAACAAGCGACAGTTAGTGTTGAACATTAGGGTTGGTGTGAAACGTGTCCCATCATTTTCAAAATCTCAGCCCTATATATATTCTAAAAAAAACCAGCAACGAATCCCTGTTGTCATTTCATAGTTTCCTATTAAATGTTTCACTGCACTATTGTTTGGATGACTTGATAGAAGTACTAAATATATTAAGCCCCCATATATTTTGTTATTAATTACATTGGGGGAAACCAATATTTCAACATATCAACAAGGACGTCTCTCCCAATTCTGTGCGCATCTCTTCCTTTCACCTTCTTTTCCTTCCTTCCGTCCTACCACCCTCAATCCTTCCATTCCTTACCCCCAATAGCATTGTGGGCTCTTGCCTCTAAACACTACACCAAACAAAACAAAAAATAAAACAAATAGCACTAAAATTAACACTAAACAAGTCATTTTCTGCTGATCATACGAGCCCAAAAGACCCGGACCTTTAGTGTTACCATGAAGTGTTACATATAATTATACGTAGTACCACCATCTCATGCTATATATGATGTGTCTGTCATTAATCACACATAATGCTAGATAAACCTGATAGTCATCTGGCAGTGGTCCAAATGGAAATGAGACATTCAACTCCTTAACATCGTCTCTATCTCGTAGGTCAGTCCAAGGGTTCCAGGCAACCAATGGCATATGCTCTGGATAATGTCGATTTGAAGCCAGCGGAACTGTGCTCAGTGGATAAAGATCTGAAAATAAATGCATGACAATAACAACACCATGCATGATGTCAGTTTTCAGAAAAAGTCAAGACAAGGGAAGTGTCAAGTCAAAAGCAACAACTCGTTGCTAGATGTAGACATTGCCGAAGAAACCAGACCCTCCGAGCGCAAAATTCTGCAGGTTACTGGCCGAGTTAACAGCCAAGTTGTTTCCTACTTCAAGTACAGCATAATTCTGTGATACAGTCATTGAAATACAAACTGTGATATATATATCTTGGACGCATATACAGGTTCATAATCCTTTACCCAAAACCCTAGGGGGAGATGTGAACTCAGGATTTCGAATTTGTAGGATTTCGGTACAATGGTTCAATACATTAGATTATGGTAACCCCTGAGTGAGGTCTGTAGCTCAGTACCTTGTAAGCAAACATGTTCACAAACAAATATTTCTGCAGCGGACCTTATGTATATTCACACTGAGTGGGATAAATAAAGTCTCTGAAGTATGATGCTTATGTTTTACCAACAGATGTCACCAGGAGTGTATCAATGTGTTTGATACACTCCTGATGTCACTAGTATACTACATGCAAAATTATGTATATACAAAGTAATAATGAAACCACGGAAGATAATTAAATACATAGTAGTTTGTTATACAGTTAGATACATAACAAGCAGCTCTGATACACAAATTGGCTTATATGTATACTAGTAATATCTATTAGGGAAACATCGCATGTTGCTATTATTTAGACTTAATTACAGACAGGCAAGACCGATGAGATAGGTCTACACACATTACAGGAAGATCAGCCAACCAAATTCCCACAATAACTTACCTAAGAACTGCTCTGGGTATTTCAGTGGAACGTGAGGCTTGTGGTAGCCAACAGCAAGGAAGAAGGGAGCTGTAGGGGCCGTACTGGGGGAGCTCTCCAGCCTGGCACGATCCCGTAGGAACTGCATGGCTTGCCGAGTGCTCTGCATGTCTGGCAACGTTGCTTCAGGCTGCTGTGTCACATTAACCGGACATACAATGTTGCTGTACTTGCGTCCGCCCGGCCCCGCACACACCTGCACATGAGGAGCACATTCGCTGTTCAGCAACTAGATGCTGTGTGCACGATCTCAGCATTCATTCTACTAGCAAGAGCTAAAGGCTGTAGGTAGCAGCTACAGTTACCATGGCCATTACTTTCTTGTGCAAGCATATACCTTACTTATCTGGACAAAAGCGATAGTCAGTGACAATGGTGATAGAAACGTTAGGTAGGAAGCTTCCACAGAAAGTTTCATTTATTTGAGCAAGAGAGCCATGATGCTCTGTATATTATTAATAGATATTCAGTATTATAGAAAATATTACTATATAATATTGACTAACGACTACGATATAAATATTGAATATTTCATTATAAGCAATAACGATAAATGTAACTATATCTGAACCATATAACCTACTTTGGAATTCTTATATGCCTGTGTTGACGGGTGGTAAGGTTTCTCAGACCAGCTGTATGGTTGATCATCGTTAAAGTTGGACGACTTTCCTGTATTAGCACAAACCTAATTGAGTAATTATCTCTGAAATAAATATTTTATTTCAAATGCAACCACAATGCTATGATCCATATAACGTTGTAATTATTTGAGAAAACTGCTTTATTTAAACCAACCTTATCTTGCTTTAACTGGTAGTTGTACAAAGCTTACCTGGATGGAACACTTTTCCAACTGAAGCTGTATGGTAACCATGCTCTTTGAAGTGCTGAGGCAGAGTGGTGAAGTTACCAGCAGCATGTCTCCAGTAGCTGTGGACATCGTACAGTCTTGTGGTGTCAGGCCGCCGACTGGTCAGGAATGACACTCGGCTAGGACCACATAGCGCTTGCTGTAGATAAGCAAAGTGAATATACAAGTTTGAGATATAGAACACAGACGAAACTTTATTAAATTTAACTAAACTACTCTTAAGTCTGAGAATATGATAGCTGCACTCAAATTTTTAACTGAAAACTATAACATTACATATTTGAACATAAATGTGGCATGTATACCTGTGCGTATGCATTGCTGAACTTAATTCCCATCGAACAAAGCTGGTCAATGTTGGGAGTGATATATTTCGATACTTCATAGCAGCCCAGTGCCGGGCGAAGGTCGTCTACTACTATAAACAGGACATTGTGCCTGGAATCTGTAACCACAAAAAATGTGAACTTGTGCAGTGCATATTTGAAAGGAACATTGTCTTTTGAATGATGGTCAACTAGGAATTACCAATTAGTATTACTGATTCACATACTTCCACTGTTATCAGGTGGAGCAAATGGTTGTATAAGAATATAGGTATGTGATTGCTAGTCAAAAGCTAGAAGTTCACCATGTTAATGACATGCACATGGGCAAAGGATATATGACTTATTATAATATAGTGAATATACCTACAAGATCGATTTTGTCACAGAAGGCCAAGATATACTAATCTAAGGGTAAAATACAAAAAAAAAGTGTATGTAATGATGTATCATCTCTAATGTACTATTATACTCTGTATCAGGGTTCGAAATCAACGGTAGTCGATTAGTCAGAAACTACCAGATTTACTGACAGGTAGCAGATTGCAGCAACAACTAGTCAGGTGGACTACTTAATTGACTGTCAGCATCAACAATAGAACCGTCAGTTTTGGCTAATACAGATAAATAAACTAATAAATTAAATTATTCACTTTCCTGCAAGTCGTTATAACTTTATTTTGAATAAATTACCACCACCAATTAGCGAATTTACTTCAATATAGTCTTCACTATTACATATTATTCACAAAATTCTAAACTGCAAGAATTGCTTACGGACTTTCCAAATTACTAAAAAGTAAATCTAGTAGTCCGTATGACTACAAGTCAAAGTAGGTTAATTTCGCACCCTGTTGTATGATCATTAATTATTAATATACACGGGAACAGATGTTACTGTTGCTGAGAAGGTCTATGTCCCCCGGGGTACTGCCGGACGTTAACCTCTGTACGGTCCGGCTGCCGGGATTATACCTGCGAACGTACCCTGTACTATCAGGAGTCTATCAATATGATAGACTCCGATCCTTACTATCTAAATATGCCGGACCATACCTCGCCTACTCCATAACGCAGGTCTAGGGAGTCGGCCTACCGGTCTTATCTTCCCGAATCCTAACCCCCTAACCTATCAAAATATGTGACCAGGTACGTATCCTTGGCTTTATACCGGCACCGTAACTCTGGTACGTTCGCAGTACGTGTTTCTATTCATCACGATAAGACGGAGAACGTAATCAACAACATCTTTAATTGACCAAACTGTATATCCAAGCCTTATCTGTCACTTGCCCGAACTCACGCGAATTACATTAACGCCGGAAACCGGGGACCATTTATATTAAATGTTTATTCCCCAAAACATCCCCCTTCTTTCAATAACACAATTGAAACTATACTTGAATTAAATACAAATATAATGTTAATAGTACTGTCTACTTGAAGAGCGTACTAATTCCAACTATACCCAACATATATTCCAGTTTGTTAAACAAAAAAACATATGTTTGAACAAATGTCAATTCTCGTTGACGGTTCATTACATACCTATATAACAAATTACTCCCAACTTAAATCACAAATTGTAAATTCAGTTCAAAGTACCACAAAATCAAATCAAATCGTCTCCGGTTGTAACAATAGTACGAACCGGAAACGCGTCGTCTGCGGATTTCCTGCCCTCCTAGTTTAGATGATCGGCATTGTCAGTTTTCTATTTAGTAACGCCAACGGCATCTTAGCAACAAGTATCTCCTCTTCGGCGAATACTCGGTTGCAGTCGACAAGGCGAGACTCCCGAGTTCGGGCGTAAATACACATGGCACTAGTGCTGTGTGGTTTCTTGCGCGGTTTCGTCCCAGTTGACATAGGAATCGGACTCGGCCATCATTGCAGTTGACGCGCATTAGGTTGCATACCCTATTTGGAATATGTCGGCGATTTCCAACTGAACGCTACCCTTTGGCGTCTCCATCCATTTTATAAGACCTGCAATAGTCGCTCAGCTTTTCCACTGTACCCAAGACTCGGCAATTTACCTTCCCTTATCCCGTCTTGATCTCGGTACGTTGGATCTCCTACGCGCACTGGGGTGAATATCGTGCGGTTCTTCCTTATGACCACTACTCTTCCGTGATCGATTTTTGTATTGCTCTCGCATGTTAGACTTTTTGCCTTCTGTCCACTCTCCGACCATTGCGGAATCTAGCCATCTCGGCGACAGCTACTTTTTGGGACCATACTGTACTGGTGGCGGGATCTTTATCGACCCATCACAACTCGACGTATCTTAAAACGTCCCAGTGCACTACGGTGTTGCACGCATATTCAATCCACGCACAAATCATGTCACTGCGCTGATAGATTCCTTCTTGGCATCTTTATCAGCACTTCCGCGTCGCCATTCGCTTGCGGGAAAATGGGGGACTTACGTAAATATCCTGCGTGAATCAGAACCCCTGCGCAACTATGGAAATATGTCGGAGTTACAACTGTCCACCGTTATCCGAACACTGTACATACACTTCCGTGGTACCCCCCAGTCGGCCATTGGCCAAATGTCCTTAAACTTGCCTATCCCACCCTGTGCACCTTGGGTAGATCGTACTCCAGCTCGTGATGATTATCACATCTCACAGATCTGCGAGTAATTGTTACCTATGGACTTATCATATACTGGTGTCCTTTCATCATTCGCCACAGTCGCCGCATCCTCTGCCACCGGACGATCTGCAATTGTGGTTGGTTTCAGCGGTTCGCACTCGTGTGGTCTATCTCCCTACAGAATTCGCATGACTGGACAGTTACGCATCGATGTCGCTGAGCATCCGGCCACCACCACTGACATGTGCTCCTCTTCATTCGGGCTCGGACACTTATTTAGTCCCCAAGTAGTAATCCACCTGTACCCTAGTCGCCGTCGAGCCGCGGCTCTGCTTCTCAGCACTTCATTGCATAACGCACTATCTCTATATAGCAATAGACCATGTGACACGAATATTCACCTGCGCTACACAAAAATACATGCGGAATGTTCAGCGCGGACTGAATTCTCGCCGGTCACGCATCCAGACCTGCAGATTAAACCACTTCCCTGTAGTAACAGATCTCTGCTGAAGCTCGCTGCGAATTCTCTGGTAGCCTTTACAGCGGACATTGGCTTATTCCATTACACAGTCAACAAAAAATGTCAAACCCTCTCTCGATGTGTCTTCTTTAGACCTCAGTGGACTGCGTGATAGCTCGTTTACGGGTACTTACCAACTTGTTACCTGCATCTTATACTCTGCTACGCGTGAAGATCTCATTACGACGCCTAGCAACAAACGTTGACATCTCAGTGGTGGTGTTTTGCGGTCCAAGTCCCTGCGTGTGATTAACGAGCACCAAGTGCTTGTGGTCCTGTAACCAACCCTGATACGTTTTTCCTACGCCAAACCATCTGTATCGAGTCAAATTTCTCAACCACGCCCAGACGGATGCCAGACACTCTTTCTCTATTTGTGCGTAGTATCTCTTCTCAGGCTGGCTGATAGTCTTCCGCGATAGCAAATCGATAGGTTTCATTTCTATCCACCTTGTGACCTTGATTATAAAGCAGCTCCAATCTCATATAACTCTCGCATCGCACTAAATCACCACCGGTCTCTGTTGCAATCGTAGAAGTTCCAGTATCGCTGATCTTTATCATGTCCTGACCTTTCAAATGCATCATCTTGGACGTCCCACTGCACCATTACAGCATCTAACTTCAACAATTATTCTTATGGGCATCACTACCGCACCAACTTCTACGGCACGAAACGCGACCTAGGACGTTGATCATACCCCACAAACTCTACGCAGGCTCTAGATACTATTCTGGTAGGGGCGGTAGTTCGCGATATTGCTCTTCTATCACTCTCTACACTCGGACTAATTCCCCACTGTCTTGATCCACTGGACCAAATAATATTCTTATTTATCTCTTTTCGAAACTCGCACTTGTCTACGGTCAAGCTTTCAAGGCCTGGCCTACTTGACTCTCTGTAGAGAGTTCCGAGTCTCTCGTCTTGAGTGCTCCTCTACCGTTGCGACCCATAGATTCTTAGAATGTTCGTCCATGATGTTCTGGCCACCGTCTATGTCCGATTAACAATTCTGACATTCTCACTCTGGAAGGATTCGTGGAACGGATGTATCCAAAGTGGAACAAAACGCGAACAGAAATCTGCCAAATCGGTGTTGAATGCGTTGAGGCCTAGGCAACTCTCTGGCCTGCAATCGGTAAATCTGTGAATTCCACTGGAAGCGTCCAGTTTCGAGAAAACCCGTGATCCCACACAGTTGCCTATGTGGCGATATGTCATCCAGATTGGGAAGTAGCACAATATAATTCCACTTCACGGCTTGGTTCCAGCTTTTTTCAGCTCAATGCCGGCAAATGCGAATCTTTATCGATCCGCTTCTTCTTAATCACCGCGAACCACAAATGTGCGCCACACCAGTCTGTCGTTCCTTTTAACCTTTAACTCGACTGATCACGGCCTCGACGCTTCCCATTTCTCCTGTAGCTCTTGCCCCACTTTAGGCATGAGTGGAACGTATTCGACGTTTCTGTTCTAACCACAAGTGGCGGCTTATTACTCATCCTTTGAGGTGAATCTTCTACGCAGTCCCTTTAATTACATCCATTGAATCTTCCGAATATTCACATCGGATATTCTTCCACCTTTAAACACCAGTCCCATCTTTTATTGTAAGCTAACACTTCTGCCCAAATAAATGTTGCACTGGAACGCGCATTGTGACGACTGATGCGAACTGAGATTCTACTCCCTGGTGTGTAATTTTAGCAAACAACAATCCCCAACACCACTTTAACACGCCACCAGGGCTCTTTGCAGCATCGGAACTTACTGGTTTAAGTGCTTTGTTCCAAACGGCATACGCATAGTACACTGAACCAGTATCACTGAGCCTGTCAGCTCCCGTATCAATACTTGATAGCTGACCTCTTGTTCAGCCCCTTGTTGCATAATTTCAATTATAAATGTCCATGCCTCAGCTTGCACTCACAAGTAGTTACCATACCCCCAAGAGAATTGAAATCTGCCGACCACCAATCGTCGGCCACACGGACTTCAGTGATCCTCCGTGATTTCCTACGTGTACTATAGTACCCACCATTATACTACGACTAAAAACCACTTCTCAAAATTGGCGTTCATCTCTCCCGCGAATTGCCGACATTCTCTTCCATTGCTAGTTGGCGCCATTTCATTCCATCACTTCATGACTCATAAGCCAACATTCTACCCCACACGTCTCAGTACCTTGGACTGTGCTGGTACGCCTTGCGAGTATTGCCGTGGTTACCTCCCCTATAATTAGCCAGTTCCACACCCCGCTCTGCGCAGTAAGTTCGGCTTTGTAATACTCTCTAACCGCGTCAAAAAAAAAAAAAAAAGCAACTCTTGTCCTGTTGATCTCTCAGCTGCGTACTGATTAACTCAGAGTTCCTAGCCATGGTCTAACGCTTTATCCGAGGTTTAGGTCGATTGAACCTGGTAATTTCTCTGAAAAGGCTTTAATCACAACAATCCGCATCCACTAACCTTCTCGAAGTTGTTTCAGATTATTTGTCAAAGTTCACAAATGTTCCTCAATCTCGTATAAGTTCTCCGCGCACGAACACCCCTTATCGATTCACCTTGCGCCTTTGACATCGTAAGGTGAAAAATCTACGCCCGCGTCATGTATGACGTTCTTGTGTCGAGAATAAAGATACTCGTCCGTATTCTTTCAAGGACTTTATCATAGTCTGCGGTTCTTCATCATCCATCTGTCACCTCTTACTGTCCAAACTCCGGATATGAGTCAAAAATGTGCTCCGCCTCGCTCCCCAGGCGTAGACAAGCGGGAATCTTATCTGCACTCGTCGTCCTCCTCCGGCAAGCTTCGTAGCCAACCCTGTAGCGCGAAAATCGGCGCTTCCTATTCTCCCACTCGGGTTGGCTTAGAAAAGTTGAACTTTTTCCCGGCAATTAAACTTTCGGGAAGCCCAGTCCTTTACTTGCGCCCTGTTTCTAGACTACGATCTTCCGTCTCTCAGAAAAGCGGATTGCTATATCCACTTCTGACACCATTTCGTATCTCACGAATAGTAAGACGAGACCGTGTGAGAATCCAGACAACAATCTTTATTGACCAATACTGTATGATCCAAGGCCTTTGTGTCATTCCCCGACGTCCACGTTGACATACAGAATCGCTCGCTGGGAAACCGGGGACAAATGATAATGTTTATCCCAAACCAGTTACCGTACCCTGGGGGACATAGACCCTATGAGCGTTACTGTTACTCTATTTGCACACCTTGGTGTCGAACTGCCTCCGTTTTCAAGTTTTGAGAAATACATAAGAACAGATTTGCTGCGAGTAGGATGTGAAATATTGGAATCCATCTTATAAAATCCATATTGGAATTCTATCTTGGTTTTGATTGTCGGCGGTATCCTATGAGCAGTGCAGAATTGAATTTGTCATAACAACTGCAGTTGATACACATCTGTATACACATTTGATACACATATATAGTCATCTGTTTCATTCAAGCGTTGTTGTGACGTCCAAGCGTTGGTGGGCGGCAAAAGCTCTTGCAGTTGCATTCATACAGTTGCATTCATACATTCATTCCAAAGAGAGAATCAATGCCTTGTGAAATACAACAGAGGGACCCAAAGATACAAGATACATAGCCTGTCGCTGACCCGAGAACAATGTATATTTTGTTCCCAGTTTCCGTCAACTCACGCCAAGTTATATATACATTACATGGCACAACGTTATATACATTACATGGCCACAAACGTTAGTTATATTTAGCTACTTGATTACAACAACAAATCACGGGGGCTGCCATTACGGTGGAATGAATCCGTGATTGGTTAAGGCAGAGCCATCTATTGGTAGAATTTGACTGTTTCAGCAAATAGCTAAAATTGCACTTTTCAAACCCCTAATAGTTTTACAAACTAATGTGCACGAATTTTAGGGTGAACCTTGGTGATTTATTATCGGGATAATGTATTAAACGTGTATATGGGGCGCCAAGTGTCGCATGACTGATTTCGTTACGAAATCAATGATTTTGTAACGAAATCAAGTGTACAAAGTGATTTCGTTACGAAACCAACTACTGCAAGTGATTTCGTGACGAAATCAGCTACTGCGAGTGATTTCGTGACGAAATCAGCTACTGCGAGTGATTTCGTGACGAAATCAGCTACTGCGAGTGATTTCGTGACGAAATCAGCTACTGCCAGTGATTTCGTTACGAAATCATGCTACACTTGGCGCGCCGGCGCGCCAAGTGTCGCATGACTGATTTCGTTACGAAATCAGCTACTGCGATCGAGTGATTTCGTTACGAAATCATGCTACACTTGGCACGCCGCGCGCCAAGTGTCGCATGACTGATTTCGTTACGAAATCAGCTACTGCAATCGAGTGATTTCGTTACAAAATCTTTCTACACTTGGCGCGACGGCGCGCCAAGTGTCGCATGACTGATTTCGTTACGAAATCAGCAACTGCGATCGAGTGATTTCGTTACGAAATCATGCTACACTTGGCGCG